ATCTGAAATACATAAGAATCCTTTGTTCAACGGTAGGAAGAGTATCATTTCAATTCTATATAATTAATGATTGCTCTGCAATTTGGATAATTATGAGAGAAAAGCAACTGGTAATGTTGCCTTTATGGCTGGTTTTGAAAGCCTAAAATCCAGATTTTAGTTAATGTAGCCAACGTTTGCAATACTTAAAAAAAAACTCGATACGGTCGTCGAATGTATGCCAAAAATGGATTCAAAAATATATTAGAATGAGATATCAAGTTTCATTTTCATAAAAAATAATATTAATCTATCTTTATTCCAATTTTTTAAAAATAGCGAGGTTGTCCACAATTACCAGGTGTAATAAATTCCAAAAGAACGGAAAATATAGCTAAAGATATACCCCCGAATTGCTTTAAAACTAAATCAGTTTTGATGTGAGCAAATCCTGTGAATCCATTACGTATTGCTAAATCTGAACCAGAAGCTGTGCATTGCATTTTTGGTTTTATTTCTTCATTAGGTAGAATTAATCGCACTTTTTCAACTTTTTTAATAGTAATATTTGTCTGTGTATATATTTCTGTATCCGTACTATAACAGAATAGTATATTCGGTTCTTTTGTTTGTAAAGATTCTGAAGGATCTGTTGGAATATCAATTTTTCGAGTATTTGGTTCAATATCTACATTATTTATAGCAAAAGTGTCAAAATTGTTTAATGCTGGATTATTTACTTAATTACTTTTGTTTTTTGCTCGTTCAAATCGTTTCATACAAGCTTCAGATATTCTCTTATCTTTGTCCGAAAAAACAGAAGGTAAAAAAGCTGGATTATTAGGATTATTGGACTTCTGTCCATCAATAAAATGCATACTACATAATCTTGAATTTTTGGTGTCTATGGCTTGCCATCCTTTCTATAAATAGTAAAGAAAAATACTGAACATTGCAGGTCTTTATTAATTAATTTTTATAATCAAATTAATTTTTATAATTAAGAAAATAAATATGATGTTTTTTAAATCGGCCAACAGAGCCAAAGCACAAAAAATTAATTATTCGGAACTGTATCTCTTGGTTTGAGATCACTAAGTTCCATATATAAATTAATCTCGAAACTTACATATGGAGAAATAGGCGCGAAAAATTTCGAGATTAATTTATATATGGAACTTAGTGATCTCAAACCAAGAGATACAGTTCCGAATAATTAATTTTTTGTGCTTTGGCTCTGTTGGCCGATTTAAAAAACATATTTATATTCTTAATATTGAGAGCCGATAAAAATATTTCTTTCTGATTTTATAAGTAAATTAATTTCTATAATTCTTTTATTTAAATTATTATGTAAAATTAAAAAAAAACAATTTAAAGGCTCAGATTAAATTAAATCTAACTAAGAGATAACTCACTGGTCGTTAGAGCCGTGAGCGATGATAGGCGCTTTACATCGAAATCTTAATTTTTCGATATAATTTAATAAAGTGTACTTATAGGTATGAAAAATTTGCTTGAAACATTGCCAAAACTAATATTAAAAAATATTGAAATTAGTTCTTATTTTTTAGAAATAGGTAATTTTCTCGCCTATATTTCTCTAGGGAGGTCAGAGGATATTAGCGGAATTATGATTTCTCAAAAAATAAGAATTAATTCCAATATTTTAGAAAGTCTTGGCAATGTTCCAAGCAAATTTTTCATATCTATAAGTGTACTTTAAATTATATCGAAAAATTAAGATTTTAATTTAAAATCCCTAACATTGCGCACGGCTCTCACGGCCAGTTTATCTCTTACAATTAGATTTAAAAAAATACTTACTCTAAACGATTGACAGCCCAAATCCATTTCCTTTTTCGTTTAATTTCTTATTTTATATCGGGAAATGAATAAAAATAATGATCAGAATTTTTAGACTCACTATTTTTGCAATCACCTTGGCGCGCCAACTAGATGGATTATAGACAAAAAGTAGACATAATCTTAGACTTGTTTTATAGCGTTTTCGATTGGGGTGCACTGGCTGCACTGAATGTCAGGCGCGTGTTCGATTGGTAGTGCCAATGCGCACTTGGCTAGTGTTGCGTGTTCGTTTGAACGTACAACACTCGCATAGTGCGCACTCAGTGCGCACTAAGTGGCACGAGATATTTTGACGGTGCCAGTTCAGTGCACTGGATGCATGCAAGCAGTAGGGCATTCTTTTGAACGAAAATTCGACATAATGAGCAATTCGGATTTGGCTCTCTTTAATATTTTGGAGACATTTTTGGAATCTTCTTCTAGTTTAAGCGAGCAAGAAGAAATAATTACAACTCTTCGAACTAGAAGAATAATTCCAAAAACTGTAAATTATGTAGAATGTGTGAAAAAAATGGATAATGACACTGTAAGTGTTATATCTTTTTATATAAACATCGAACCTATACCCTTTTTTAAAATATAATTAATGTACTTAATGTAATAACATTTTTATACTGAATAATAATAATTTTTATATTTCTCATACGTGATATTCTTGATCATCTTCTATATTTAATTACATATAATAAAAATCATTACTTAACTGAACACAAGATGTCGAGGTTACTTTTTCGTTCTTCCCGGAATCTAGTCAACTCAAGTGGCACTGAAAATTTCGGCGTGTTCTTTTTCACCTGCACTATTCAGTGCAACCCATGGAACTTGTCCAGTGTTCGTGTGAACTGAGTGCGCACTGGTGCGCACTAACTTTTTCCCAATCGAAAACGCTATTAGATGCATTCTGGATTTTGGAACACATTCACCAGTCTATATACTGTCTACATACCAGTATATATTTGTCTACATACTGTCTAAACATTGTCTACATTGCTCAAATATTGATGAAATAATCTGTCTAAAATCTGTCTAGTCGGTTTCTAAACATTGCCCACAGTTTGGACAACTTGGACAACATTCTGACAAAGGTATGAGCTTTTCAGAAATCACACTGATCGACTCTATTTTGTGTTAATTTTTTATTTTAATATCGATTATGTATTTAGCACTGTTTTGGTACTAAAATAAAAAATAAAAAAATAGAATTAATTTATTTCTTAAAAAACTTATATGACTTTTTAAGGCGTCCAAACTGTCAAGATCTCGCTGAAAGACAGTGAAGAACTAAAATGTGTAAAAAAGATGAATAATATATAAACATATGTATATCTGATTTCCCTGTGTTGGGATCGTATCAGAAACATTAAATAGATCAAAATAATAATAACATATTTAATTGTAATAGCCGCTTTTTGCATGTACTTTATATAATTCTTGTAACTAAACTTGAATACGAGATAGACAGTGCATCTTGTGTCGCATAGCGGCAAATGAAGGAACTATTACAAGATAATAACAGTTCTGTACGGGATGTGAACAATAGTTTTCTTAACAAGTTTTAGATAAAATTTAGACAGATTTCTGTCTTGAAGTGTTGAATAATTTTGTGTAGTTTTTAATAGTGTAGACAATGTTTTTTTTATAAATCGTAGACAAAATCTAGACAGATTCCTGCTAAAAAATGATGAACAATCTGAACCAGTTTTGTACAGAGTGTGGACAATAGTTTTCTGAACAAGTTTTAGATAAAATTTAGACAGATTTCTGCGGAAAAATTATGGATAATCTGAACCACACACACACACACAGTTTTGAACAAAATGTTTTGTACACAGTAATTTTTTGAACAAGTCTTGGACAAAGTTTAGACGAATTTTATCCAGTGTTAGATGAATTTTTTTATAAAATATTTAATTATAGTCAGTCTGTATATACAGAGAGAAATTTTGCTTAGAATTTACTCTAGTAATTATAGAACAATATTGAAAGAATTTTATAAAAACTCTGACTAATATTTAATAAATAAAAATATTAATTTCTACCCCAATAAGATAAATTAAGTTTCATTAATTTTGCTAAAATTTTAATATTTTAAAACATTAAAAAATTATGCTTCCTTAAGTGTTTTAAATAGAATACATATGTATAAAATTGTAAGGCATATTCGAGAAGCCGTTTCTCGATGTTTTCGGCAAGGTCATCACTTTCGACTTATTTTCGCGACCGCGCGTTCCAGATGGACAAATAAGCGTTTTTGTCTGAATTTCGTTCTTCAATAGGTCGATCGCAAGCGAATCACGATAGGGCACGCACGTGTCACGCGTCGATCATATGATCTATCGGCCGTTGTCGTTACAGATGTACGAATTCGGAGCAGTCTGCCCTGACAGCCCGTCTTGAAAGTTTGAAAAGAGATTAGAGTGGCGGGAATCGCGTATAGTTAAGAAGCGAACGCGTTATTAGACAATTGTTTCAGTTCAGTTTGTAAAATAAATCATTTTAAATACATCTCACGAAACCGTTCACTCTCTTTTCACAGAATCCTACTGCAGATTTACGTTCTCGGCGTAAAATAAATATTTCCCTTCTGTGCACCAAAAATAATTTCGAAGGTTCACGCACAACATATAAAATATTTTGCTTAGAATTTACCCTGAAAATCATGGTAATTGTAGGACAATAGAAAGAATTTTATAAGAATTCTAATATTTAAAAGATAAAATAAGTTTCATTAATTTTGTTAAAATTTCAATAATTTTAAAACATTAAAAAATTATGATTCTTTAAGTGTTTTAAATAGAATACATATTAAATAGAAAATATTTTTGCTTAGAATTTACCTTGAAAATGATGGCAATTGTAGGACAATAAAAAGAATTTTATAAGAACTCTAATTATTAATAAATAAAAATATTAATATCTACCACACTAAGATATAAAATAAGTTTCTTAAAAGAACAAATTTTGGATAAAGTTTAGACGAATTTTATCCAGTGATGATTTGGACCGAATTTGGCCACAATCTAGACACATTGTCTTTCGACAAAATCTAAATGGACAAAATCTAAGCTGCCTATTCAAGAACTGGACGTTTTGTTTTATGTTGGTTCTGGAATATATTTAGACGTCTATATGTCTAAAATATGTCTATTCAATCAAGTATTTGTTCGGAATACATCTATTATAGTATTTGTCAAGTATGTCGAAACCTCGTCTAGTTGGCCCACTAGGGAATCGTGGACGTTTTTCTTGTAGCTCGGTTTCTTGCACTGGTTTTTAAACGGTCCAATAACGATAAATAATATGCATCTATAATAGTTTTCCATATAGTCGATGAAGATTATTCCTTGCGAATCCCAAAAGATAGTCGTCATAATTGTCCCGGTTGAACGAACGTTCTTCGCTTTCTTTGATGCAGACTCCTCGCTGGCAACTCATTGTTTGGATTGTTCTTTGGTCTCAGGCGTGATGTATTCATGTTTCGTTCACCGTGACGAAACGATGCTTAAAGTCCTGTGGATTCCGTTGAAACAGTTACAAACCGTCCTTGCAACATCTCACACGATTTCGTTTTTGATCAACTGTGAGCAATCGCGGCACCTATCTTGCGGATAGCTTTTTCATTCCCAAATGTTGATGCAAAATATTATGTACCCATTTACTCAAGATGCTCACAGCACTAGTAATCTTACGCACCTTCACTCTTCTGTCATCCATCACCATATCATGGATTTTATCAATGATTTTTGGAATAGTGGCCTCAACAGGGCGTCCAGAATGTTCAGCGTCACTTGTGCTCATACGGCCACTCCGAAAATTGTGAAACCACTTATAAACTATTTTAATCAAAGGTGCAGATTCACAATAAATTTATTAAGTTTCTCTTTGGTCTCCTGACGCGATTTGTTTTTTATATATAAAGTAATAATGTTTAATCATCACACAAAATTCTTTTTCGTTCATTTTTTGATAATCACTCGATTTCCTCGATTCAAACAAACGCCAAACACAAAGAAATAGACCGATCTGACTGAAACTTGGTGTTTTTCCAAGAGATGCTACTAACTGAAAATAATTTACGTACGAAGTGCCATCTCTGACTTTGCATAAACTTTTCAAACCATTCTCGTATATACATATAATAAATATATTTACAGAATGCCTCATTTCATTGACGAGATACTACGAGATATTTATTTTAATCGATTATCCCTAAAAATTTTTTTATTTTTTATTGTACAACAAAATGTTTCAAATAAAAGTTGTTTGATTTGAAGAGGAACAACAAATTGCACTACTGACTTTTTTCTGAAGTGGGGTCTACAATGACAGCAGGAGTACAGAGTACAAGAGTAAGCAGTACGAAATGGGATTCGCTCATTTCGTCAGGAATAACGAAATGAACAAATCCCATTTCGTACTACTTATTGCTTACTCTTGTACTCTGTACTCCTGCTGCCATTGTAGACCCCGCTTAAAAGACCCTAAGGGCTAAGGGCCCGAGCACAGACTTTTGCATAACGCATAATGCATAAGAAACTCGATTGGTTGAATTTCTTATGCATATACGTTATGCACGTTCATGGACTAATCAAATTTTTTATGCGTTATGTAAAAGTCTGTGTTTGAGCCTTAAGTCACTGCGAGCATTAAAAAATCAATAAATAGACAGTTACTATTGTATATCAGGAAATGTTTATAATTAAGAAAATAATTACAAATTAAAATATTTTACCATACTGAAATAGCAATATTCAATTATTGATTAATTCTTTATTCCTATATTATTAGTAAGAAAACATAGAATGAAAACCTTTTATGTGGTAATTTCTATGTTAATATAGTTCAATTGTATCAACAAAATTATTTCAAAGTTATGTCAAACATTGTATATTATATTCCATTAAGTTTGACATTAAGAAATAAAATAAAAGACATTTCTTGTTTCTTAATTGAATATATTAACTACATTTAATTATATATAAATAAAAAATAAAAGATGTAATGTACCTGTTATTGGATGTTGAGCATTAAGACAACTGAGCCATTCTGTCATACTGATTCTTCTATCATTGTTGATGTCACAGTATCTCGGTAATTTTTTGCCGCATCTCCGAAGCTGTCTATTATTTGCTACCATTGTGCGGAAAGTTTTCCATTCTTTTTTTTCTAAAACCTATAACAATTGTAAATTAACTTTTTAATCTAATTAGCTTTATTTAAATTTAATTATTGTCTTATTAAACATTTATTTGTTTATTTATTTATTTTTTTCTTTTTATATTTTTTTTATATGGGTAATTTAAAGCTATTATATTCACAATTTTTTCTAGAAAATTAAAAAGGTTAAGAAGGTTAAAAAAATATTATAAAGCAAAAATTTTATGCAGTAAATAGAATATTATATACACTAATATAATTTAATGTTTTTTAGAATCTAAATTATAAAATACTTTAAATTAATGTAAAGATTGTATAAATATATGATAAATATTGAAGTTTAAATAAAAAGTGATATTTTATGTAACTATCTGTCTTAATATGTAACTATTAATAAAAAAATGATTGGTTTCTGTTGAGTATTCTCATATACCTTATTTTTATTCTTATCAAGCATCACAAAATGCCATGTAGCTATCCTTTCTTCCTTAGAAGCTTGCCACTTCGTGGTGGTTTCGTCAGAATCAGTGGATGCTGTCATTTGTTCTTGCATAAGATTCATTAGATCCCGAAGGAATAGTTGTTTTTTTAACTCTGGACATCCTATTAAAATAAATTAAGCTAATATATAATAAATACATGTTGATTATAACAAAAATAAATATATATATTTCTTTATTTATGTAATCTGCATTTTAAGCGTGTTTACATTCACAATCTGTTTGTTTAGTTAAATGTGCACATTCAACTTCATCGAACGGAAGAGTTTTTATGCATGATTATTCGTTATATCTTCTAATATTAATTTAATTAAGTGAATAGTATACAAGTTGTGTAAATAAAGTAATGAGACTGTTTTGAGATGAACTTTTATTTATAATTTAACTCTGTCACCTTCAAAATAGTTTTCTTGGAAAGCCACACTGCGTCTGAGACATTGTTTCCAGTCTTTATAGCAGTGCTGGAACTCAGAAACCTGAATGGCCTTCAGCTAGTCGGTTACAGCCGCTTTTACGTTTTCAGTCGTATCAATGTCCTTTGAGATGTCCTTTGAGATGAGTTTTTAATCTTGGGAAGAGAAAGAAGTCACAGGGACTCAGGTTAGGCAAATACAGAAGTTGGGAAACGACAGGGATGTTTTTCCGTGCCAAAAACTCCGTCCACAACGCTTTCGATTACGGAATTTTGAGCACGGAAAAACATCCCTGTCGTTCTCCAGTCCCTGTATTCGCCTGACCTGAGTCCCTGTGACTTCTTTCTCTTCCCGAGATTGAAAACTCATCTCAAAGGACATTCTTTGATACGACTGAAAACGTAAAAGCGGCTGTAACCGACTAGTTGAAGGCCATTCGGGTTTCTGAGTTCCAGTACTGCTACGAGGGTCACTATTTATATTTCGGGAATAGGAACAAAAACAAATAGTTAAAATAAATTAATGAAAGGCTCGTATAATTTAACAAAATTAAACAAATCATATATAGTAGGCCAACTGAACGAGCAAATAAATAAGGTGTAAAAATTTTTATTAATAGTTAAATAATTAAATTAACATTCCGTTACAGAATCGATATAAATTGTAAACGTTTCGACTGCACTACAGTCTTTATCAATACATAAAAGTTAAATATTAAAATACAAAGTTAAATGTTAAAAATACAAAGTTATAATAGTTAAATATTAAAATATAAAATTGAAACGATTCTTCGCTGTTGACCAATAGATATGCAAGGCGATTGGTCTGAGATGCCAAGTTATGCGACATTTGAGCATGCTACGGATATAATACGCGAATTAAATCAATGTCAGAGAAAATTAAAAAATCTTTCAACTTACATTATCGTTTTAACAAGTCCTTTTCCCCGATATTTCAAGTGTGTGTTGCGAAGTCTGAATACCAAATGTCAAAATAGAGAGCGTGATGTATTTATTTATTACCAATGTTTTTTCTAAATTATGATTCAGCAAATTTTTTAAGTATGTCAAAATAACTACTGTCTAACAATTCGGTGTCTGTATTTAAATTAATTCCATTTTTCTGTTCTTTAATGTGGATCATTTCAGATATTAGTCTTTTATGGTAGTTCTTTTCGTGATCCATAATTTTAATATTGTCCCAGTCAAATGTATGTTGTTCGTTTAGAATGTGTTCTGTGACAACCGAATGTCTAGCAGAGTCTAATTTAATATTATTTTTATGCTCTTTAAGTCTCGTTCCTAACTGTCTTTTTGTCTGTCCGACATATGTGGCGTCACAATCGTTGCAATTCAATTTATAAATAACATTAGAATTCGTGGGGCAATTATTTTTGTCCTTTTGAACTTTTATGAAGTCATTCAATTTTTTAATGCAACGATATCCTACCACTACGTCAGGTCTTCTTATTGCTGAAGCAACTTTCTCAGATATTGATTCTATATATGGTATGACAAAATATTTAATGTTAGTATTAGTATTATTGGTATCTGTTATATTGTTATTATTAGGCTTGTTAAATTTCTTAGTTGAGAGATTTTTTAATCTGCGTTTTATTTCTGTGAAAATTAGATCAAGAGGATAACCGTTGGATAGCAAAATGTTAATAGCTTTCTCTATTTTTTTTTTTGTGAAATTGCGGATGTGATAGTAATAAAGCTCTATCTACCAAGTTATAAATTGTTCCTATTTTATGACAAGTCGGATGATTTGAAAAAAATGAAAGTAATCTACCTGAGAATGTCTTTTTGTGATACCAATCTAATCTATCAGGGAAAACAATACAAGATACCGACATAATAGTTTCATTGGACGTTGTTTCATTATTTACTAATGTTTCCGTAGATCTTGCATTAAACGGTATCAATAATAGATGGCATTTTATAGAGTCACACACAAAGATTCCCAAAAATGAATTCATAGGTATGATAAAATTTATACTAACTTCTACATTTTTCACTTTTAATAACATAACTTACAAACAAATTTATGGGACTCCTATGGGTTCCCCACTTTCTCCGATCATTGCCGATATAGTCATGCAGGACTTGGAAACATTGGTAATTAGTAATTTAAATTGCGAAATGACTTTCTATTTCCGTTATGTAGACGACATTATTTTATGCACTTCCGCTGACAATATTACATATGTTTTGAACGAATTCAACAATTATAACGATAGACTACAATTTACATTGGAAAAAGAGGATAATCGTTGTATAAGCTTTTTAGACATAATGATCAAAGTAATAGATAATAAAATTTATTTAGATTGGTATCACAAAAAGACATTCTCAGGTAGATTACTTTCATTTTTTTCAAATCATCCGACTTGTCATAAAATAGGAACAATTTATAACTTGGTAGATAGAGCTTTATTACTATCACATCCGCAATTTCACAAAAAAAATATAGAGAAAGCTATTAACATTTTGCTATCCAACGGTTATCCTCTTGATCTAATTTTCACAGAAATAAAACGCAGATTAAAAAATCTCTCAACTAAGAAATTTAACAAGCCTAATAATAACAATATAACAGATACCAATAATACTAATACTAACATTAAATATTTTGTCATACCATATATAGAATCAATATCTGAGAAAGTTGCTTCAGCAATAAGAAGACCTGACGTAGTGGTAGGATATCGTTGCATTAAAAAATTGAATGACTTCATAAAAGTTCAAAAGGACAAAAATAATTGCCCCACGAATTCTAATGTTATTTATAAATTGAATTGCAACGATTGTGACGCCACATATGTCGGACAGACAAAAAGACAGTTAGGAACGAGACTTAAAGAACATAAAAATAATATTAAATTAGACTCTGCTAGACATTCGGTTGTCACAGAACACATTCTAAACGAACAACATACATTTGACTGGGACAATATTAAAATTATGGATCACGAAAAGAACTACCATAAAAGACTAATATCTGAAATGATCCACATTAAAGAACAGAAAAATGGAATTAATTTAAATACAGACACCGAATTGTTAGACAGTAGTTATTTTGACATACTTAAAAAATTTGCTGAATCATAATTTAGAAAAAACATTGGTAATAAATAAATACATCACGCTCTCTATTTTGACATTTGGTATTCAGACTTCGCAACACACACTTGAAATATCGGGGAAAAGGACTTGTTAAAACGATAATGTAAGTTGAAAGATTTTTTAATTTTCTCTGACATTGATTTAATTCGCGTATTATATCCGTAGCATGCTCAAATGTCGCATAACTTGGCATCTCAGACCAATCGCCTTGCATATCTATTGGTCAACAGCGAAGAATCGTTTCAATTTTATATTTTAATATTTAACTAACTTTGTATTTTTAACATTTAACTTTGTATTTTAATATTTAACTTTTATGTATTGATAAAGACTGTAGTGCAGTCGAAACGTTTACAATTTATATCGATTCTGTAACGGAATGTTAATTTAATTATTTAACTATTAATAAAAATTTTTACACCTTATTTATTTGCTCGTTCAGTTGGCCTACTATATATGATTTGTTTAATTTTGTTAAATTATACGAGCCTTTCATTAATTAATTTTAATAAACGCTGGCCTTATAATGCGTGGGACTAATTACCCGTTTAAATACCATCGTTTTAATTCTAGTTTTATTTATAACTATTTTGGTCTAGAAACGTTAAAACATTTTAAATCTTGGCTAAATTTTAATTATGCGATAATTAAAGCAATGTCGAAGTTGAAATTTTTAAGGGAATGTAAGAGATATTGTTTGTTTCCCAACCATTTGCGTAATTTCTGTAACAATAAATTTGTTTTCCACCACTATAAATAAAAAAATAGGATGCGTGGTTTGTTGCATAATATCAGAACTGAAATTCTTAACATAGAGATATTTGATTTATATAGAACTTTAAACTCACTTAATAAAAAACGGTCAAGGCAATTCCAAATTCTCCAAAATCTTTTACCATCTTATATCTGGCAGGAGATTTTAAATCACCATTGCAACTCCTTTTCTTTGTTCAACCAAAAATTATATCTCATACACAATAAAAAATTCCTATGGCTACGTAAATCGCATGAAACAGAGTACATTAAAAATATTGATCCTATCGAATTGAAAACAATATCATCGACAAATATTGTTGATAACACTGTTTCTGCCAACAGTTTTCGTTGTGCTACACATAACCCTTTACAACAAACTAACCAGAAATGGTTTATTAATTTAACTGATAAAAAAATTCCCCCCAATGTAACCAATCTATTACAATTGGGAGGTGAATTTAGTCTCCCAGTTAACTTAAATAAAAAAGTAGCTATACACGAATTCATCAAAGATATAGAAAGCAATTCTAATGGGATCAGAAATCTTACTTCGATTCGTAATGCTGCCATTCCACAATTTTCATTATTTTTAAACAATAACGACAAAAAAACGGACATACAAGAAAAATTATTTCACATGCATAAAGACACAATTAAATTCTGCAATCAAAATCCTAATATTTTATTTACTAGAGCAGATAAAGGCAGCATTACAGTCGCACTAGAAAAAGAATTTTATATAAAAAAAGTTGAGAGTCTCCTAGAAGACGATTCTACGTATACCATAGTTAAAAACAATCCATCAACAAAAATAGAAAAAGAACTCAATATTTGTTTAAAAAAATGGTTGAAAAAAGACTTCATCAACAAAAAAGAATATTATTATTTATTTTCAAGCGACTCTCTTCTTCCTAAAGCCTATGGGCTCCCCAAGATCCACAAGGAAAATATTCCTTTTAGATTAATAGTTTCCTCAATAAATACTTCTCTATATAATATTGCTTCTTTCTTTCATAAAATTTTAAAAGATAGCCTTCCTAGAGCGGACAGTTTTGTAAATAACAGTTTTGATATATGCAACATTCTATCAGGGAAAACAATACAAGATACCGACATAATAGTTTCATTGGACGTTGTTTCATTATTTACTAATGTTTCCGTAGATCTTGCATTAAACGGTATCAATAATAGATGGCATTTTATAGAGTCACACACAAAGATTCCCAAAAATGAATTCATAGGTATGATAAAATTTATACTAACTTCTACATTTTTCACTTTTAATAACATAACTTACAAACAAATTTATGGGACTCCTATGGGTTCCCCACTTTCTCCGATCATTGCCGATATAGTCATGCAGGACTTGGAAACATTGGTAATTAGTAATTTAAATTGCGAAATGACTTTCTATTTCCGTTATGTAGACGACATTATTTTATGCACTTCCGCTGACAATATTACATATGTTTTGAACGAATTCAACAATTATAACGATAGACTACAATTTACATTGGAAAAAGAGGATAATCGTTGTATAAGCTTTTTAGACATAATGATCAAAGTAATAGATAATAAAATTTATTTAGATTGGTATCACAAAAAGACATTCTCAGGTAGATTACTTTCATTTTTTTCAAATCATCCGACTTGTCATAAAATAGGAACAATTTATAACTTGGTAGATAGAGCTTTATTACTATCACATCCGCAATTTCACAAAAAAAATATAGAGAAAGCTATTAACATTTTGCTATCCAACGGTTATCCTCTTGATCTAATTTTCACAGAAATAAAACGCAGATTAAAAAATCTCTCAACTAAGAAATTTAACAAGCCTAATAATAACAATATAACAGATACCAATAATACTAATACTAACATTAAATATTTTGTCATACCATATATAGAATCAATATCTGAGAAAGTTGCTTCAGCAATAAGAAGACCTGACGTAGTGGTAGGATATCGTTGCATTAAAAAATTGAATGACTTCATAAAAGTTCAAAAGGACAAAAATAATTGCCCCACGAATTCTAATGTTATTTATAAATTGAATTGCAACGATTGTGACGCCACATATGTCGGACAGACAAAAAGACAGTTAGGAACGAGACTTAAAGAACATAAAAATAATATTAAATTAGACTCTGCTAGACATTCGGTTGTCACAGAACACATTCTAAACGAACAACATACATTTGACTGGGACAATATTAAAATTATGGATCACGAAAAGAACTACCATAAAAGACTAATATCTGAAATGATCCACATTAAAGAACAGAAAAATGGAATTAATTTAAATACAGACACCGAATTGTTAGACAGTAGTTATTTTGACATACTTAAAAAATTTGCTGAATCATAATTTAGAAAAAACATTGGTAATAAATAAATACATCACGCTCTCTATTTTGACATTTGGTATTCAGACTTCGCAACACACACTTGAAATATCGGGGAAAAGGACTTGTTAAAACGATAATGTAAGTTGAAAGATTTTTTAATTTTCTCTGACATTGATTTAATTCGCGTATTATATCCGTAGCATGCTCAAATGTCGCATAACTTGGCATCTCAGACCAATCGCCTTGCATATCTATTGGTCAACAGCAAAGAATCGTTTCAATTTTATATTTTAATATTTAACTAACTTTGTATTTTTAACATTTAACTTTGTATTTTAATATTTAACTTTTATGTATTGATAAAGACTGTAGTGCAGTCGAAACGTTTACAATTTATATCGATTCTGTAACGGAATGTTAATTTAATTATTTAACTATTAATAAAAATTTTTACACCTTATTTATTTGCTCGTTCAGTTGGCCTACTATATATGATTTGTTTAACAAATAGTTAAGCTGCAAATATATTTTTATTGTTTTTCAAAGTACTCGCCACGATGATCGATACACTTTTGCATGCGCTTAAACCAATTTTCAAAGCATTTATTCCATTCCGAATGAGGTATCTCCAAAACATGATTTTTGAACGCTTCAATAGCTTCTTCGGGCGATGAAAATCGTTGACCACGCAGTTTATTCTTCACGGATGGGAACAAAAAGAAATCATTGGGTGCCAAATCAGGGCTGTACGGCGGATGACCCATCAATTCGATGTTTTGAGTGCTCAAATAGTCTCTTGTTTGAGCCGATGTGTGAGAGCTCGCATTGTCATGATGAAGAACAATCCGACGTCTCTTGTTTGTTTTCCTTATTTCACCGAAGATTTCTGGCAAACAGATGGTTGTGTACCACTCAGAATTTACTGTTCTACGATCTTCTAGAGGCACTGTTGCAATATGACCAGTTTTTCCGAAGAAACAGGCCACCATTTTCTTTGAAGTGCTTCGTGCGCGAACAACTTTTGTTGGATTTGGTTCATCTTGGAACACCCATACAGTCGACTGCTGCTTACTTTCGGGCTCATACGAATATATCCATGATTCGTCACCTGTCACGATTTTATAAACGTCTTTTGAAGCACCGCGATTGTATTTCTTAAGCATTTCTTTGCACCAATCGACACGAGCCTTTTTTTGAGCGATTGTCAAATTATGTGGGATCCAACGCGAACATAACTTTCGCACAGCTAAGTGTTCATGTAAAATCGCATATATGCTGGTGGAACTAATGCTTAGGGATGCCTCAATCTCACAATAGGTTACATGACGATCTTGCTTAATCATTTCGTGCACAGCATCGATGTTTTCTGGCACTACAGTCGATTTTGGACGACCTTCACGAAACTCGTCGGACAGCAAACTACGACCACGATTGAATTCACTATACCAGCGATACACAGTGGTTTTTGATGGAGCTTCATCGCCAAAAGTCAAATTAAGTTGATTGACGCACTCTTGTTGTGATAATCCACGTCGAAAGTCGTAAAAAATCATCGCACGAAAATGTTCACGATTCAGTTCCATTTTTTGCCGAGACGAAACTTTCAACTAAATATAAAATAAACAAATAGCGTCCGTATGACAAAATGTTCTGAGTACGTATATCGTCAAAAATGTCAAACTTTACGATGGAACCGTCAGATGGACTCACATGACATCAGTGTTGCCAATTCCCGAAATATAAATAGTGACCCTAGTATAAAGACTGGAAACAATGTGTCAGGCGCAGTGTGACTTCCCAAGAGAACTATTTTAAAGGAGACAGAGTTAAATTGTAGTTAAATTATAAATAAAAGTTTATCTCAAAACAGTCTCATTACTTTATTTAAACACCTTGTATGAATAATATCAAATAAATATATGTATTTATATAATGATTGATGGGCGGGTTTAACATCCTTTGTTTGTTTTCTATTTTATTTATAAAATAATTAAAAATTGTCAAAAATTATCTTTAATTACCTTTTATAGGTCTGCTGGGAGTCGGGACTGGATTGCAATTTGGCGTGCGATTCTGCGAAGATGTTCCTGGTATCGGTTTACCCGTATCTTGAAGTACACACCAGCAATAACCGGAATAGCATTGAACTCGATGATATCTTCCATCAGACGTGCACAATGGTACGTAATATTTTTCTTGCGAATTATGCTTTTGATCTTCTATTGCTGAATTTCTATCTGACATACAGTCATTTGCTGCAAAAAATTAATAAATAATACTTAATAATAAACTGAAATTTATAAATCTAAATTAGAAATACAAATACAAATGTGTCTCTTATAGTGACCTGCATTTGAACAAGATACATTTCGACATCGTTCATTTGGACATGATCAATTGAATACTATCAATTGGATACCATTCATTTAGACACCATTGATTTAGGCACTGTTTATTTCGAAACAAAAATGTGCGACTTATGCAATTGGACATTTTTATTAAATTATCTAGAATAATTTGTTAAAAATAGTTTTTATATAGTTTATATAGTTTTTATATTACAAGCATTGAAGAACTATATTTGAGATGTGTGCGCCTGCGCGAAGCATATGTGACGATTGCAGAAATAACTGTGATGGTGTTAGTTGTTCTTTTGCTTAGTTCTTTTCCCGTCCGCGTTCGTTTCCGTCTCTCACTTCTGTTTTGTCTGTCGGACCGACAAGTATTACGCACATTATATCACAATAAATCTACGTAATCTTTACCACGGCCTTGTCTTTATTAGCAACCTTTAACATAATTTCATTATATTAAATTATATTAGTGTAGATAAAATTTGGTTTATAGAGTTAGCATATATAGAACTTAAGCAATAAGTGAAAAAAAACTTATAATCAAAAATATTTTTATATCCTGGAAGAAAAATTTGAATATTGGCGCCTTTATATTTCTGGAATTTTGCTCCCACTTAGGGATTCAGCCCCTTCCGAGGGCCGATTTGGCAGCCCGATTACCGTTACGAAGCGGGGCATTTGCTCGGAGAGAGTTTGAGAGGGAGTTTGCGTATTAATTTGTCGAGTGACTAACGCTCTTGTTCAAGTCTAGTGCTTTTGTACCGTAGCTATTATGGTCGAATCAAAAGGTTCTTGTAGCCTTTTTCATAATTTGTAAAATAGCTTGGTTTGTCAAAATAACCATTAGTAATCGGACCAAAAATTGAGAGGCTATAGCGCAGTTTTCATTGACGCCAGAAATTAGCGTCAAACGGAGATCACGTGACTAAATTTGTCGCTTGTCTAATGGAGGGAGAAGTAGTGGCAAAATATGCGCGTCGTGAACCGCCGATAAAATTGCAAATATAATGGCTTAAGCGGGGAGCACACACTCTTGCATAAGCGCATAAGCATATGCAGAAGAAATTCGATTGATTGAATTTCTTATGCATACTCGTACGTTTATAGACCAATCAAGATTCTCATGTTTACGCTTATGCGCCAAAAGTGTGTGCTCACCGCTTTACAGGCAGAAATATTGTGCATGGATGACAGAATGTGCGAGGCAGGTGAATTATATAATGTTCAAAAAGAACAACTCTTTCTTCTTCTCCGTTCATTGTTAATTACAATTATTGTTGAATTCGTGGCACGCTGAAAAAACTGAAACGGTCTGAACTCTGTTCCCCACTATATTTTCTTGACGCCGAATCTAGAGAAAGTCTAATGATTTTAATTTGACGCTGGTTTCTAGCGTCCATGAAATTGCATCCTTATCGCGCTGACTTAGCATCGCTCGCAAGATACGGCTTTAATGTCTGTGTAATAAATATTGTCCCTTTATCTTATAATATTAAATATATAATATATTCCTATTAAACAAATATCGAGCGATCTTATTTTTGTTCCTTACAACAATCAGAAGTAGGATGGTAATCCATTTCCCTCGCAAAGTACACGAAGGTCGCGGGTATTAGTATTTCTCTCTCTCTCTCTCTCTCTCTCTCTCTCTCTCTGTCGTACCCAAGCACGCTCCCGCATACCAGAGCTCCTACACTTGCAGTTTTTCTATATAGATATACACGTGATAATTGGGTGTTCGAATCTTGCCTTTACCGTATGTGTGTTATCCAGGCGTTAACGTGAGTGCAAAATCAGCATCAGGTAAAAAATACCCAATATACACGCTGATTATAAGTTATATGGTCGGGACAAGATCTCAAAAAATTGAAAATTTGAGGGTAGAAAGAAAACGTCTGGGAGCAATGACGCTTGAGGAGCTGTGTCAAGAAGCCGCCCGTCATCAGCTGCAAACCACATTGGAGCCGTCCCGTATGATCGACGCCATCCTGGATCATTTGGATCAGTTGGCCTCGACGCAGGAGTTACCGCTGTCGGGACAGCGTTCGCGCACAGCTGGCGGACGCACGCAAGCGTCAGCCGATTTAATCGAGATGACCGATCCACCGACGGGACAACGTTCGCGCACAATAAGCGGGCGCGCTTAAATGCCAACTGATCAAATCGAGAGGGACGCGCAACCGATCGTCTTAGGTGCCATGGACCGAGTTGTCGAGACACTGCATCTCTTCATGGACCAACAGAGACAACTAATGGAAGAGTTTCGCACGTTTTCTCGAAGAGAAACCTCAATACCCAGCGAACCATCCCGGGAGCGAGAAAGAAAAAAATCGGAGGAACCGTTACGTTCGCCGACGGTCAGCATATTGTCGCCGGCACAAGCGGTGTCGTTGCTGGCACCACAGATCCCGGAATTTGGTGGCACTGACGAGGAGAATATCCAAGTCTGGATGCAGAGCGGACAGAGTAGCTCAAGTACATCGAACACCCTCAGACGTCGTATTATTAGCCGCTTCGAGTAAGCTGACTAAACTAGCTAAGCAGTGGTACAAGATGCAGCAAGGGACCGTACTCAAATTCTGGACTGAACTGAAGAAAGCTTTAATTAAAATATTTGATAAATGCGTGTCGTTTACAGCAGCGATGCAACGCATTGAAACAAGAAGATGAAATTCATCCAAAGAATCTTTTGATCGGTATGTAATTGATAAACTTGCTCTGATCCATCAGCTAAACCTACCTCCAGCTGACTCCATTAATCTAATAATTAACGGCATCTCGCCACATTCGTTACGAGCCATTGCGCTTATCATTAAATACCAAAGAGGTAGACGAATTCTTAGATCAACATCTTTGTTGAATTTATAAAATTGTTAGTTTAGATTTTACACTGGTATCAGAAAACAGAAGCAGTTATAATTTATTCTTTTGTTGTTCATCTAATCTGACAATTTTATAAATTCAACAAAGATGTTAATAGTATAAGCGATAATTGAATAAATAGAGATTTGCGAGTTAATTGTTTTAGTCAACGATACAAAAGAAACATGTTTTAAACAAATTATTGAGACTTAATGTTAAATTTAGTAGTTATTAATCAACATTTTAATGTATTGAAAAAGACTGCCGTGCAGTTGAAACGTATATGTAAAGTATTTTTGATTAAATTTTAAGGTTCAATAAATATTTTAACAATTTAACAATTTAACATCTTAATCATTGTTGCTCGTTTAAGTTGGCTTTTGTTTATTTATTATTCCTTTTATATATTATATTTATACGAGCTTAGTGGTATCAAATTATATATATCTTTATATTTAAAATTTGTTTTTTTATATTATTTTATAATTTATTTCATCTAACTTTCTGCAATTATTGCAAGAAGAAAGAACACTGGAAGGCGGACTGTCTGTCGTTGAAGAGGAAAGAACACGCGACAGCGTCGACTACATCACCAACGGCGACGTCCAAGGCGGCCTCGCCCTCTCAGTCAACAGCGGCAGCGGTGGCAGAAAACGATAAGTTATATTTTGCGATTATATTTTGCTATTTGCTCGACGTATGCCTCTCGACTGACTTTTCTATGCTCGCGCACACACGCACACACAGCTTTCCTCCACTTCAGCGGATGGCGCGGCAGTGTTGCGCTGTAGAGCTTGTGGCGCGCAATCCAAACTCAGCGGCAAATTTTTCACATTCGGCTGTATGTAGTTAGTCTGGATTTTTTCGATATGGACTTAATCGTCGTCGCGATTTTTTGCAAAAAAAAAAAATGATTTGACGTTGATTTTCCGGCCAACCAATGCGTGCTCCAAATTATTTACACAATTACTCTCGCAAATAAACGTGCGCTATACTAGCTTGGATACCGAGTCAATGTTGGAATTGCGTAACGGATTTCGGTCCCGCGGAAAAAACTAAACTCAAAATTGCCATGTTAGAATCTTTAAAAACCGAAATCAAAGTAATCGAGGATGACTATTGCGTCAGTGTCAATCTTAAAGACGAATCTATTTACTCATACGCGCCGAGAAAATTTGCGTTGAAAAAACGCGAACAAATACGAGAAATAACAGACGATTTAAAAGCTTGCGAATTATTAAAAGAAGTACTATACGTCTACTTACTGCGCGAAAATCGTTCCAGTACGGAAGAAGAATGGCACTTTGCGTCTGTGCGTCGATTTGCATCTATTAAACGCTAGGATGTTGAAACAAAAATACCTCTTTCCCCTCATAAAAAATTATTTAACTAGATTGGGCGAAAAATCTGTCTTCTCGTTATTAGATTTGAGAGTTCGGTTTTCACCAGATAAAGGTGCACCCTGTGACGTGGCCTTTTGTGCCCGCCACAAGGGCGGACGCGTCCGACCGAGAAGAGTCGGAGAGCGCTCCAAAATTTCGTGTATTTTGCAGGCGAGCGGCGAACTCTTCGCCGGCTTGCCTCTACTTACTTGGTAACGAGAGTCGAGGTGGTAAGCCAGGAGAACTAGATTGTTTTAGGGAGAAGAGGACCCCGAAGAATTAAGGAAGGAAGACCATGGTGCGGGAAGAACGGAGGTTGTGCGCCCGGCCTGGTGAATAACCAAAAGAATAAAATTATACACGGTACCGAGTTGCGGGAGAATAGAATACTGCCGAAACGATCTTTACAGCCTCGGGGAGTCAATCACCAGCAGTCCGGATAAGGGAAGGAAAGGCACCTGCATTCCTCCACGAGGATGACTACCCCTGAGGGGCCCGCGGTCGCATTTTGTGAGGACTTGGAGATCGTCCGGGACTGATCATCCCGGGACGATCTCCATGGAAGAGCAAGGCCGTAACGAACATCATCTGGCGGCCGTACGAGAGGCGGACGGAGCCGCCGAGAACAGAGCTGCGACATCGCGACCCCCGAGGGCGAGGATTCAAAAGTGGAGACAGGAAACCCGTGACCAGCCACGGAAAGGGAAATCGATTTGAGGATCGATTACAGGCCTGACGCGGGGCGCAATGCCGCCGCGAAGCGTGGCAATTGGGCCAG